CTGGCGGCTTTGGGGAAAATTGGTGCGAGTGTGGAGGAAAGCTTTGGGGAAAATTGCGGCGACTGCGGGGGAAACGCCAGGCAGCTGATGCTCATGATGCTGGCGGATTTCGGGAAAATTGGGGTCGACTGTGGAGTAAGGACCATCAACCCTAAACCTGTGGTAAGCCCCTACTATAGACCCCAAATACTATGATGCTTCTTACGGCTCAAAATTGTACCCCTACTTCTGGGATACCCTCCATATAGAGATCGCGAAGGGATGATGTGGGTCCCTGTTAAGGACCATCAACCCTGAACCCTATCCGCACCCTAAACCACCCTAAACCCTAAACCTCCAAACCCTTAAAACCCTAAACCCTAAGCCGCGTTTGAGAGAGTTTGTCCTGGCAAGGTGATGCGCTGCATCTGGGGCGAGGCAGGCTCCAGATTGTTGAAATGTACATAGTACTGCCCAATACTAGGGTAATGGAAAAGAAAATGGAAACTACTATTTAGGGTTTAGGGTTAATGGAAAAGAAAATGGAAACTACTATAGTATAATAGGGTATGATATAGGTTTATATTGGGATAATAGTATATAGTAGCTCCCCTAGATAATGGAAAAGAAAATGGAAACTACTATTTAGAGTTTAGGGTTTAGGGTTTATGGAAACTACTCTAGTATATTGGGGGTTTATACGGATAATGGAAAAGAAAATGGAAACTATTATAGTATTTTGGGGTTATATTGGGATAATGGAAAAAATGGAGACTACCATTTAGGATTTAGGGTTCAGGGTTTAGGGTTTAAGGGTACTATACATTAGGAGGACCCTGTAATTGTATAACAGGAATATAAGACAGGCCCTAATATAGTCCTTACTATGCTCTATAGCCACTATTACAGGGTGGGGGGTCCACCTAAGCTATACATAGTACTGCCCCAAAAGTAGGGTAGTTTCTATCTTCTTTTCCATTTCCCTCTCTATTCCTTACATGATCCCTAATTCCATGTCGATGTGCATGTCTTGTCCATTTGATTCTGAATTATTACAATAAGCCTATACTACCCTAAACCCTATACTACCCTAAACCCTATACTACCCTAAACCCTAAACCCTATACTACCCTAAAGCCTATACTACCCTAAACCCTAAACCCTATACTACCCTAAAGCCTATACTACCCTAAACCCTAAACCCTATACTACCCTAAACCCTTGCGACTGATGGCATGGGCCATTGGCAGGAGACGACGGGGATCTTTGGTGTCTTGCTTGCAAGGGATGTCTACAGTCATGGTGGCCGAGAAAGCTTAGCAGCATAGAGTCTAAATTCCTTAAAGAGGCTTATATAGGGGAGCATTATAGGGTTAGTAAGGGAGATATCTGGAGTTTAGACTATAGTAACTATAGCTCATATGCAACCAGCTCAAGTAGCTTGAGGTGATGAGGTCGACGTGGCTCAGGCGCCATTTTGCGCAGCAGACATGGACAGCACGAGCATTGGCATCTTAACAGGGCACTGTGGATGCGCAGCCCATGGACAGTGTCATGCAGGTGACTGGTGGAGAGCGGGATACAACCCAGATAGTGGAAAATAAAATGGAAGCTACTATATTATAATAGGGTATAAATAAGGGCTATATTGGGATAATGGAATTTAAAAATGGAGACTACTATTTGGGGTTTAGGATTTAGGGTTTAGGGTCGGGAGATGGCCTTTGCATGCCAGGCTGCTGAGCAAGGCAACGATGCTGAAGTTGCAAGTGCCCAGCGCTTGGAATGGTGCCTTTGTCAGCTCTCTCAAATGCAAACACCTCAGTCAAGTTCAATACAGATCGTTACAGCAGCACTGACCCGTAGGGATTCTTGTATACCCTAGACCCTGTAGACTTTATAGACCCTAACCCTAAAGACCCTAAACCCTCACTCGATAGACCCAAAGCCAGGCAGCTATGGCACAAGCTCGGGCAGAGGTTGCCCAGCTGTCGTTGGAGCAGCTGCTACAGGCAGGTATCGGTAAACTGCCTTCAGCGCCGTTTGGGTTTAGAGTTCAGGGCTTAAGAATTAGGGTTGAGTGTAACTATGGAGGATCAGATAGAATGAGAGGGGAAATAATGTGAAAGCTGGGCTTATGTAGGGTATACTACCAAGCCCTTGACTTGAAGGGGTAACATAAAACCACAATCCCCAACACCCCCTTTTCCCGGGTACCTCCTCCCCTTTCAACCATACCCATCTACTGGATTGTCAACATGATGTCCGTTTTTGAGTACTTCAAATTAGGGCCATAGTATTGGGAACCCAAGAAGGCACCCTAGCCCCAAACCAAGATTGACAACCTACAACTTCAGGAACCCTAAACACTAGACCCTAAAACTAGCCTATACCCCAAGAAGGGACCCCAAACCCTAAACTTTCCCTAAACCCTAGCCTATACAGTTTAAGGACCGTAAGTTCTGGGTCTTGCAGGGCCCCTGGCCGGCCATGCACGGAACAGCGCTGTTCGCATCGGCTGCGGCCTCAGCCGTGCTCTCTGAAGTGCTGAAGTAGCTCCCCTACTATAGGGGGGTTTAGGGTTTAGGGTTTGGGATAATGGAAAAGAAAATGGAAACTACTCTAGTATATTGGGGCTATAATGGGATAATGGAAAGAAAATGGAAACTACTATTACTATAGGGGCCTAAATAAGTACCAATGTTATGGTTCCACATTCCTTGTATAAGTATAGTATATGGTACCTCATATAGACTTCAAAAGGAAATTGGTAGTTATTTAGGAAACCATATTCTGACTGGGTTGCTGTCAAGAAACTTAAATGAATTCGCTAAGATGGGAAAACTCGATGTTGTATGATATACTCATGTAATGATAACTTAACAGAAGTTCCTTGACATCAGACCAGATATGGAAGTTAGCACTGAACATGATGATAGTAGCAGTGTTTGTAGTCAGTGTCAGGAGTAGTAGTAGTAGTCGTCGTCGTCGTCGTCGCTGTCGTCGTAGCAGCAGCAGCTGTAGTAATTAATTAGTTCTAGCATTCTAGTACCAGTAGAACCACTGTTCATATTGCGAAGACTCATATGCCTGAGCCATGCCAGGTGGCGCGCATGAACCACTCCTGCAGCCCGGCTGCACACCCAAAATGCAGAAATGAACCACGCTGGTGGGTGGTCTTATGGAATGAAGGACCCTGGCACTCCATGTCTATAAATGAATGCCCCAAGGTCTACAAATAGAAGCTACGTTGGGCCATTCGGAGGTCCAGGGTGATTAGGATAAAGGGACTTGAGAGTAAAAGGAGGACTACTGAGGATACATCCCTCCAGTCCCTATAAGCCAGTGAGTTTTGCCTAGCGATTTGCTGCCAGCACAGGCGCGCCGAACATGAAGGTCACTTGGCCGCCAGTCAAGACCCTTCCCAAAGGATCCAAATAGCCCACTGTAGATCATATTTAACAGACTTTGGCACCCCATGTAGGAATTACTATAATCTACCATAATATATCATAATATTCCATAATATACCATAATATTATGGTGTATACCATAAAATACCGTAATATACTACTCATAGCGAAGGTCTTGGATTATGGCGTGTCTTTCTCAATTTTCCGAGGTGGTTTTTCCGGGCAACTCTGCCCGCCTTACTGCCACCGCGGTTTGGGACTCAGCGTCGCCAAGTTTCCAGTTTTGCACTAAGCCCATGTAAGCTACTGGCAATCGGAGGGTAACCAAGGGACTATTAAGTGTGGACATAAGGGCCAATTTTGTAGTTAGTATAGCCTTAATATGAGCTATAGTCTAAACTCCAATAAGCGCTATAATGGTCCCCAATGCAATTCCCGATATAAACCTCCTTCTAAGGACTAGACTTTGGCTCATATGTTCCCTCCTGTCTTGCTGAGTCAGGTGCTGAACATTTCGCCCGGACATGAACTTTGCATCTGCTACGTCAACCAGGCTTGGCGTGACGCAAACCGGACCGGGGATGACAATATGGAGATAATAGAGAAGAAAATGGAATATATATAATATAGTAATAATGGAAAAACAATGGAGACTGCAATGTAGTAATAATGGAGACTGCAATGTAGTAATAATGGAGACTACAATTTAGAATAGGGTTTAGGGCTACATGGGGATTATCGTCGCCTTAGTCCTGAAGCCATTTGAATGCTCCACAGGAAGCAGATGTGCAGACTCGACGACGCAGGCCAAGCACTTTAAAGTCGGCAAGACTTACTGGGGGTTAGCAGGGAATAAGGGAATCTATTATATAGGGACTATATACGAGTTACAGATATATTATATAGGGACTACATATGAATTCTATTCCCTTATCCCCTACTAAGAACCTGTTAGAAGAAGACTCTTCGCACACCCTCGCGAGATTTGCTGAGGCTTCTGGAATACGGCTTCACGTGTAGCTGTAGCAGGTGCCTCTCGGAGGCCCCCACGCATCATGGCCACTCGCAGCTGCAACATATGAGTAGTGTTTTCTTTGGGGATACTATGGTACCTAATATAGAGTAAGATTTTATCCTCAATTTGGGTATAGCATTCTATATAAGGAACATAATCTTACTAGGTTCAACCTTCCTTCATATCGGCGACTTTTTGCCAGGATTCCACGACTCTGCGCAAGGCTCAGAAGCGGCTGAAGTAAAGCCGCTGGAAAAGTCGTGCAAGGAGCCCAAGATGAGCTATAGTCTTAACTCCTTAAAGGGGGTTGAGGGTCTACACTCCTTAAAGGGGGTTGTATGGGGGAGTATATACGGGAGTATCATAGGAGTTACTCAGAAGGATTCTAGGAGTTTAGACTATAGCCAAAATGTCGGTGCCTGCACGTGTTCTCACCGCGTGATTAGACTTAGAGGGAAGAGCGCATCTGTCCCAAAAAGGCGTGTCTCATGCAACGCCAGCTGCAACACCGTGACATAGTGGACCATACAAAAGGAAAGATAAAAATAGTATGAGCCAGGACCCTCCCTGTACCCTTAATTAGGGGTATATGGTCCCCAATAGTGGGTATTTAGGGTATATAGAGGGTAAATGGAGGGTCTAGGAGTAAAGCAGTGCTGATGACCGAGAGCTGATAATGGTGTTTGAATCTGGCAGTTTCCGTCAACAAGTGGACCCCATCATAGACCTAATGTAACCCTGTACAATCCCTCCAGAATCCATATACAACCTTATAAAACCCTATATCTCTCCAGAATCCCTATCAAGCCCTATGAAATCCTATATCTCCATAATCCCTATAACGCCCTATCAAGCCTGATAAAGCCCTATATAATCCCCTTCTTCATGTGAGTAGTATTTTATTTGGGGATACTATGGGACCCTATATAGAGTAAGATTATATCCTCCTTTTGGGGTATAGTAGGAACTCCTTAAAGCCCTATAGAATCCCCTTCTTCATGTACGTTGTACCCTGGGAGCTGGAGCAGGCGATCTCCTGGAGTCGCCCGTGAGATGATGGGCGGAGGTAGCTCGAAGGCTCCGCGGTTAGGGATTTACGGATTTACGGATTTAGGGGTTTAGGGGTTTAGAGTTCAGGGTTTAGGGACCAGGGGTACCCTTTGAAGGGATCTTAAGTCCTATTCGTTGGGTATCGTTTACCTCTACCCTAAACCCTAATCGTTTACCGCCTCCTTGTCCACGTCCACTTGAAGCTTACTGACGGAGCAAAGCGCAAGCAGTTACCGGGCCTGCAGGAAGTGAAGGGAAACAGCATTTACGACTTCCAGGCCAGGATGTGATCATATGAGCTTTAGTCTAGAGGATACTAGGAGTTTAGACTATGGCTCATATTTGGAAGTAGCTCATTCTGAGCCCTTTGTGTTCAGCAATCTCATGCTCTGCACTTCCTGACAGGTTCAAAACATCGACGGCCAAGACGTGTCTCTGAGCGAGTACACCGGAAAGGTTGTACTCATCGTGAACCTGGCAAGCAAATGAGGCAGCGCAAGCGACCTCATCTATACCGCTTGGAGCAGAGCCCTTGCACTTGCTCCATCAGGTCTGACGAAGTCTAACTACGCTGAATTGCTGTGGACTTGGCAGCTAGGTTCAGCTGGCAGCATGTCAGCAACCCGAGAGCTTAGGTGTGAACTTTACGGAAAGTATCGTTCTCGAGGATTTGAGGCTGGTACACACCTTGTCATGCTCATGATGCCCCGGCCTGACCAAGATGTCTTGGAGGTGCTGGGATTTCCTTGCAACCAATTCGGTGGCCAGGCGCGCAGACTTACTGTCTAGATCTCCATTGCATTTTGTGCACTAATTGCATGGAAGTCAGGAGCCAGGCACCAATGCCGAGGTGAAGGCGAAGCCAGCCACGAGCGTTGACACGCGAAGTCCTTCATGTTCATGTGGGCCTTTTCGGAGGCCTTTGCACAGTCCAAGTGCCCCGACACGTTTCCCCTCTTCGCCAAGATTGATGTCAACGGTGACAATGAGGCATGCTGACACGTCTGCGTGGCAGAAGCAGATGAAAGAATTCTTGCTACGATGCCAAGGCTCCTCTGTACACCTTCCTCAAGAGCCGGCAGGGAGAACTGTGCTGCACCGAGATGAGTTAGAACTTTCGGTAACAGCAGGCCGCGACAAAGGTGTACGTAAAGTGGCGCGGGGGATGGCGCGCTAACATGTTGATCCACAGCCACTGTGTGCCACGTGCGAACTGACAGCCTAGTGCCTCGTGCACAAGGCTGGGAAGCGACATCAAGTGGAACTTTGCCAAGTTCCTTGTGGTCCCTTGGCTTACCCCTTGACCCTGCATGACACTACAACGCTTGCTCCCGTCCGCGCGCGCATGGCTGCTTCCTAACCCTAAACCCCAAACCGTTGAATTGCCGTGTGCGGAGCTGGGAGATCCCTTGCTAGCGCAGCCAGGATCGTCAGGGTCAGCCTGTTGCGCGCTTCGGGCCGCAACAGGCCTACCAGCAGTTTTGCTTCATGTCAAATGTTGGTTTTTGATTCTGCTCCATGTTGACTAGAGCTTCCCTGAGCCCTGAGCTTCTGGCAGTCGCCCAAGTCCTTCGAAGAGGAGATCGTGAAGCTTCTCTAAAAGCCTTGCCAGGCTTTAGGAGGGTGAACTCTCTCCATTTTCGGCTTTTGCGGCCCTCATTTAAGCAGACGAGTTAATGGGATGACGTCTGCGGACGGCATTCTGGCATCACAAGGTGCGAGTCACAATTTACTTGAGTGGCAGAAGCAGGCTCAGTATAGACTCCTGCAGATTTCACGAATCCTACCGCCAAGCTGCCCTGAGAGCACTGGCTTTTGACAAGGCCTCCGAGCTTAGCAGCTTCGCTATTCTTCCTTCTTGCACTTGACAAACCTATAACAGCCTCCATGCGCAGGCAGCTCGCCAGAAGCACTGCTAACGTAGCTTTGTCGATAACTTTTACTATCACTTTTGTTAGAACTGTTGAGATATCCGTTATCATAAGTATTCGTATAAGTATTACTATTACGAGTATTTTAACAAGTATTATTAATAGCCATTATTATTACTACTCTTACTACTCTGTGCAAGAGGAGAAGGAGGCCGGCCTTGGAATGCTAGGGATGCTTTGCATGGCGCATGGTGACGCATGGTGACTGAAACCCGCCGGAGTCCCACGGAAAACATGAGCTGCAGTCTAAGCTCCTTAAACGGGGTTATAGCATAGTCCCCCTTAGGTAGATGGAATATGGGGTATCTGGGGATCTTAGTATACTATACCCGAAGCCATATTCTGTCTACTTAAGGGGAGGGAATTATGTAGGGGGACTATTCTAGGGGGTAGGGAGGGGTGATACTAGGAGTTCAGGAGTTTAGACTACGGCTCACGTAGCTGCCCTCGGAGAACTGCGATGTTGCAGGAAGCCTGTCGTGGGTTGTGCACAGAAGCTCGTACTGCTCTCACTTTGCAAGACGGATCCAGAAACGGCTCAAAGTTCCTGGTGATTGGGTGAGACCATCTGCACCCGTAGAGATGGCCAAGATGACTTCTAGGCCTGCATGAGTCAAGCTGAATAGGTCAGTGGCCCGAATTTCAAATTTTAGATCCACACTGTGCTGCAATCCAGTACTTCAGCTGAGAAACCTCGGCTACCAGCTTGCGCAGCGCAAGGTTCGAAACATCGATGGTCAAGACGTGACGCTGAGGGAGCCCAACTCATGAGTTGAGGCCACCTTACTCTTTGGAAGTCTGCTGATCATGGCTTTGGGTATATTATAATAAGATCCCCATATACCCCAGATTCTATCTACTTAAGGGACTCTCAAATGATGCTCCAGTGCTCCAGCCTGAGCAAGATGGCCTGGAGGTGCTAGGACCGCAAGGAGCTCCCTTTGCGAACCAGTCGATGGCCAGGCGGGCAAATTTGCTACCCTCCTATTCCTGCGGCGGTGCTGCATGGAAAGCTTTGGTGCAATCCAAGTGCATGCAAACTTTTCCCGCCTCGGCAACACTGAGAACAAGCTGTGCCATGGAGCTTTAAGTAGCCCCAACCCCTACAACAAAAACGTTCTTATCGTAGGGTGCCTTCATGCCGAGGCCTCCAGAGCCCGCAGAGCTGTGCAAAGTAGATGCGTTGCAAGAGACAGAATATCATCACAGAACCTCTTCTTCTAGGCTGAGGGACCAACAAAAATGTGCAAAAGAATCTAGTTTTTGTAGGCTGGGGGACGACGGTGCTGCGAACCCAGCACACCCTAAGCTCCATGCTAGCAGTTTCGCCTCAATGACGGCTGGACTCAGGCATGTTCCTTCCTGCGCTTAGCTTTGGGCGCAGTGCGAAGGCTGGTCAGGGTGGACTGAGATGATGGGAGCACGGGTATGCAGTCTTGCGCAGCATATGATTGTTGTCTGCTGTTGGCTGCGCTTCGCAGCCGACATGTTGGTCCAAGGATTTCCTTGCAACTGCGGCTGAGGCCGGCATGCATAGCTGCTAATTACCATCTACTTTTTCAGGGGCGCCGCATGGCTTAGCTTGTTTGGAGAGGCTTTTGTGTACCCCAATTGCTTCGACAACTTTCAGGCCTCACCAAGATGGACGCCGACAGCGGACGATGAGCACGGCATGCTTAAACAGCTGCGGCTAGAAGTTGGGATAGTACACTTAGACCAGACGAAGTATACTGCGATGTTGCTAAGGCACCTCTGTACACCTCCCTCGAGCTCCAGCAGGGAGGGCCATGCAAAGCGGAGGTGCGCTGCAAGAGACAGAAATCGTCACAGAGGTGTGCAGAAGAGCCGTCCTTTTCTAGGCTGATTCCGGTGCTCAATTTAGCGAAACGAAGCGAAAGGTTCGCTCTAATCCGTACCCGTTATCATTAATCCGTTCAGCCAAAAGTTCGCTCTATTACGAACCCATTTACCACTGAGAACCCAACATTGCATCCTACACCCGTTTTGCCTCCACGACAGCTAGACACAGGCCTGCGAAGTTCTTCCTGTGCTCCCTCTGAAGGCCGGTCGGAGTGGATGCCGTTGCAAACTTGGGTTTTTCATGGCAGGAATGCAATGGAACACAAAACATTATTGTTGGCAAATGTTGGCTACACTCCTCATTCTGGCTTTCGCGCAGGGGACACGTTGATCCGAAGTTGAAAGTTCAAGACTTGACAAACGCAAAATCTCAAGACAGCCGTTACCATCTGCTACCCAAGATGAGAGCTGCCTTGCCATGCAGCCATTGCTTCGGCCGTGAGAAACTGCTCGAGCTTGGGACAGGCAGATGATGAAGGCGAGACAGCGATGCCGGACATTGTTTACGGCACAGAGACTTACTCTATTGGAGACCTCGTTGCAAACACAATGTATGGCTGCGTCCATCGTGCTACAGGGAGCTCGGGAAAAGAGTTCTGCATCAAAACATACTCGAATCGCAAGATAAAGGTTTCGCAGGGTTACTGCGAAGTTCCAATGAATGAAGTGAACATCGCGTTCGCTCTTGAACACGACAATCTTCTGAGTCTGTTGGATACCTTTCAGGACAGTCACTACGCACACTGTGTGTTCGAGCACCTTAGTGGGGGCGATCTCTTGCAGCTTGTGCAAGACAATCCATGCGGCTTGGAAGAAGCACGCGTGCGATGTCTCCTTTTGCAAGCCACACGTGGACTAACTCATTTACACCAATGTGACATCGCTTTTCAAGACGTGTCGTTGGAAAACATGCTGCTCAACATGGCTGGTGACAAGCTGAAACTCTGCGACCCTGGACAAGCTGTCCAGTTCCAAAGAGATGCAGCGGGGGTGGAGCAACCGGTTAAGTACCGAGGCTTGGTGGGACAACCCTTCCGACCCCCAGAACTGTATTTGTGCCAGCCTTATCTGGCCACTCAGGTCGATTCTTGGTGCTTAGGGTGGTGTGGGTTTTGCTTGCTGAATGGTGAGTGCATGTTTTGGGACACCAGTCCGTGCAACCACGACAGCTCTTGGCAGGGAGCAAAAGCTTGTTTGGCGTCTGGTTCTGTTGATTCTCTGCTGCAGCTTCACGTTCCATCGGGCCCAGCCGTGGATTTCATCGTTTCGCTGCTGCAGCTTTCAGTCAATTCAAGACTGCCTTTGTCAGATCAGCACGCATTTTTTGAGCAAGGGAGCTTGCAGGCCTCATGTTCGGCTGAGCCAAAATCGCTCTTGTCCGAACTATCTGCGTCACAAAGATTTGTGTACCTGCAAGAGGGTTGGCACCCAAGATCTCCCACAGAGGTAGCGTGCGAAGCTGGCGAGTTTTGCAAAGTCTGGCTTGACAGCCAAACCCCGGATGGCTGGGTTTATGTTGAGTTCCCAGACGCAGCTCCCCACAAAGCTGGATATCTACTTTGGTGGTGCCTTGATCTGGACACGCCAAGCTAAGAGAGCTCCGAGCGCGCGCAAATCATGTCGATCTTGCTGCCGATGTTGCGTGTGATGTTGATGATGTTGAGAATGTTGTGCCCAGCAGTTTCGCAAATCACGATGAGGGAACATTGTTTCAGACATATATTCAAATGCCATTGTTCTGACCATCAGTGGTTAGAGGGATGCTTCTTTCTCTCAGTTATGGTCGTCGCAGTAGCACTAGCACTAGCAATGGCTGTAGCTACCACTACTTGTTGACACCATCCACGCCACTGAAGCAGATGAAGCATGAAGCTGATGTCAAGTACGGCACCTCAAAAGATGGCTGGGAGAGCTGAGCCACAATGAGAGGGGCTTTAACATTCAATAGCATTCGGCAAGCATGGCATGCGCAAACCGATGCACAAGGCTGGGAAGCGACATCAAGTGGAGCTTTGCCAAGTTCCTTGTGGTCTCTCGGCTTACCTTGACACTCCATGACACTTCAAGAGTTCTCGTCCATTCCTGGTTGATTGCTTCGTAAGCTGTTGATTTGCCGTGTGTGGAGCTGGGAAATGCTCGGCTAGCGCTGGCACAGTCAGAGTGGAACCCTCACTGGCTTTTCGGGGCAGAGGCCTTCGCAACAGATTGCATCTGTGTCCATTTATCGAAACCATGTAAGTTGCATGAAGGCACTTGCATCATTTTGCATGAATCCACGTGCGCACCAACATGGAGCCAGCAGCTAGGCAAATCCAAAAATCGAAGGCATTTGCAGGTTTTCGCGCGGCCAAGAACAGCAAACCCAGATTCTTAAAGAGACATGTGTGAGATTGCACCATGCTGTGACATGTTTTTGCCCGCGTAGTTTCTGGTAAGATGCAGCTCAGTCCGACTCTAGCCAATGCGTTGCGAGCTCCATGGTTTCCCTAAGTTGTGATCACGCTAAGTTTGCGTCCTTTGGCTTTCATTGGTTCCCAAAGATCATGTCGTGTCGGGTGGTTGTTACATGCTTTCGTGACTCAACTTGGCCCCTTGGATCTAGGCGTGTGCGGGTACACCAGGGGCTTATCATTCCGTCCGCTATAGGGGTAGAGCCCGTGTAGCTGACGTCATCTTATAATCTGCAGCATGCCCTGGTACACACCTTGTCATGCTCATGATGCCCCGGCCTGACCAAGATGTCCTGGAGGTGCTGGGATGTCCTTGCAACCAATTCGGTGGCCAGGCGCGCAGAGTTGCTGTCTAGATCTCCATTGGATTTTGCGCAGTCATTGCATGGAAGTCAGGAGCCAGGCACCAATGCCGAGGTGAAGGCGAAGCCAGCCACGAGTGTTGCCACGCAAAGTCCTTCATGTCACAATGTGAGCAATAGTCTAAACTCCTTAAAGGGGGTTATATAGGGGATTACATAGGGGATTACTATAGGGACATCAAGGGGGATACCAGGAGTTGAGACGATTGTTCATGTGGGCCTTGTTGGAGGCCTTTGCACTGTCCAAGTGCCCCGACACGTTTCCCCTCTTCACCAAGATTGATGTCAATGGTGACAATGAGGCATGCTGGCACGTCTGCGTAGCAAAAGCAGATGATGCAAATTTTGCTGCTGTTGTAGAAGGCCTGATGCTCAGGAAGACGACGATGACTACTACTGCTTATTACTGTTATTGCTGCTGTGGTGCTATGGATGTTCCTGTTGCTCTTGCTGCAGCCTCTGCTGCTCCTGCTCCTGCTGCTCCTGCCACTGTTTCCAATGATGCTGTTCTGCTGGGCGGTGTCCTCCTCTCGATTCTGTTGTTCGCTGCTACTGCTGCATCACTCGCGCTGCTTGATGTTCTTGCGTGTCTCCTGCTCTCCAGCTTGCATGTCCTCATTCTCATTTTTTCGGTCCGCTGTACTGCAATGCGGGAGTGCATCAACCGCGGCAGCTCCAAGCCAAGCACGCGCACGAGCCGGCGAAACAATTTCTTTTCCTTAGTACTGATATTAGATCTCCACCCCTAGCATAAAGAGACGGGTTTCCCAGGATTCCGAATTCTGAAATATGGCCAAGACTACAATTAGTTACGCCTCGGATCCCCTAAATTAATAGGGGGTCCCTAGCACGCCTCTCAAGGATTAAAGATCTCCTTGATTTCCTAGGCTTAGTTTTTTAAAAAATGAATGTGTGTAAAAAAAAAAAAGAATGCCATTTTGATTAGTTTCTTGCCAGATTAAATCATTTGTAATTACTTAGCAAGAAGATGTTAGGAAAGTTTCAGTTCATGATGTTACGTTGGTTTTAAATAGAGCTTCATGGATTTGATTACGCTGCTAAATTGATTTGAACTGGTTACTTCTCAAGATTGTCATTAGATTTCAATGGTGTTAGGTTTGTTTTTTTTGATTGTTTTCTGGCGGTTTCATTACGATTTGGATTTGATGTAGTCGGCCTTGTATTCGATTTTATCGACCTTTCTTCGGTTTTAATTAGATTTCAATAGGATGCTTTTATACACCCACCGGCGCCTAATGTTCGGGTCGTACGATAAATACCCCCCTAACATTAAATACGGTTCGGAGTGTATACATTAGATCGGAAGCACTCCAACATTACGGGGAAAGGATTAAAGCAGATGAGGTCCCATGCCAAGTCTGCAGCCAAAGGAGCAAATGAAGGAGTTTAAGCAGGACGGGCTAAGAAGGCGCCTTGCTTATCATTAGCTGTGACATGGTGCTGTTGGGTGCAGATGTACATGTTGATGGGAGGCGAGGAGCTTTTGCAATTGATGGCAGATGGACCCGACTGATAGAGTGCGTCTGCATCTGGAGCCGCGCGGGCACGTTTTGTGTACCGGCCGGCAATGAGTGGCAGAGTTGGCGAAGTGGCGCTCAGAAGTTTTCCCAGGAAGACCAAGCTTGGACTTGGAAGGGCCAGGACGACGTGCGTGGCTCCTGGGGCCGCTCCTGGACAAAGGATTCGTGGGGACACGGCCAGCAAGATGACACCAAGAACTGGGGCAACGGACCTTGGAATCAGTCCTGGAAGTGGCCAAGTTCCTCCTGAAAAGGTCTCTGCACTGGCAAATTTGCCATCGCAGCTCGGCAAAACAGCGACATTTTGTGAACTGAAGCAAGTGCCAATGCGCCTTGATGACCCGATGACAGCATGCAAAACCCTGTCCACTTCCATTTCCCACTGCAATTTCCGGCTCATTTCCGCTTTCATTTCCGGCTCATTTCCGCTTGCATTTCTGCTTTCATTTCCGGCTCATTTCCGCTTCCACTTCCGGCTCACTTCCGCTTCCATTTCCACTTTTCATTTCCGGTTTCATTTCCGCGCTTCGTGTCCGGCCCCTTTCCGCTTTCATGCCCCGCCCATTCCGCTTTCATTTCCGGCCCATTTCCGCTTTCATTTCCGGTCCATTTCTGCTTTCAGTTCCGGCCCATTTCCGCTGTCATTTCCAGCTCATTTCCGGTCCGTTTCCGGCTCATTTCCGCTTCCATCTTCGCTTCCATTTCCGGCTCATTTTCCGGTCCGTTTCCGCTTCATGTCCGCTTCCACTTCCGCTTTCCTTTCCGGCCCATTTCCGCATGAGCCGACCCATTTCCCCTTTCATTTGTCCACTTCCGATTCATTTCCGGTCCATTTCTCGGTTCATTGCCCATTTTGACCAAAATCCGCCAAACTTTCAAATGTTCCAGCTTTATCAGAGACTGAAACCCAACCGTAATGCTGTTGGGAACAACAATGATTTCTTTCTGCGCTGTAGAAAAAGCGGGTTCCGAGTGATTGCGCCATGGATCCTTTCCTAAGCAGACGTAACACTGGACCTGACAGATCTACAGATCTTCATCTGAATATATCTGATTGGTATTTGGGACCCAAAACCCAGCACTAAAACAAAAAAGACATTTGGGGCATCAGCGGCCTTTGGGCTGACGTGTTTGCATCTAGGCATGGACCTCCTCTAAACATATGAGCCATAATCTAAACTCCTTAAAGGGGCCTATATAGGGGATTGGGGACTACTATAGGGTTTATTGAGGGGGGTACTAGGGGTTTAGACAATGGCTAATGTTCTGCTGCCTTTTCAACCAGGATTTTTTGCAAATGTGCATCCACTGTGCCCTGAGGCTTTCGGTGTCTGTTTCAGCCTTCAGCTCTCAGGCACTGGTGGCGAGCAAGCCCGCAAAGTGTCATGAAGGTGGTGAACTCAATTTCAGAGCATGCTGAGCAAGGCCATGCAGAGCTCTGGCAGTTGACGTTCAACATTATCGTCCTATGTTTTGATTGCGTACCTGACTGGCACGCAAAGGCTCAACTTGCGGAGCAGGTGTTGGACTGGCGACATTCGTATTCCCTGTCCGAGCAGAACCTTCTGTATGGATGCCGAGGCATCATGTACTGCCAGCCCTTCAACCACTTGTGGTGGAGGCATCGCTTGCTTATGCAATCTATCCAGCGCAAGACTGCGAAGTGCACGCGCGAAGCCAATTCTACACTGTATTTTGTGCACCTGACTGCAGAGAGTGCCATGTTCTTGTGGGAAAGGGGTGTGTTCTGGCATCCGAGGTGGCTTATAGACACCATGAAAGCTGCTGCATGGTCGAAAATGCGCTCTCACTGGGAACCCATTGATGTCGGTCTTGGCCAGCTGGGCTGAATTCCGGCACATGGAGGATGCCGCGCAGCCCACTGGTGGTCCCTGTCTGCAAGAGCCATCGCCCGTGGCTGCGTGACTGCCGTGCCTTCGTGGTGGAGTCTGGAGTCGCTGAAATCGTGATGCAAGCGAGCCTGGAAAATCAGTGAATGCATGAACTGTCAGAATACCCGCATTTCTGCCTGTTGCTTTGGCATCAGGTTTGGACAATTTGGTGAGACGCCCAGTGCAGGCTTGTATGTGCGGCAATGGTGAAATTGCGTTGGGAGGGTGACACCTCAGATCCCAGGACAAGGCCATGTGCAAACAATCGACAATCTTGAACAGCTCATAGTGTTGGCTGGCAGGTACGGTCCGGAGACACAGATGCTTCAGCTGTCCAATGTTTCCACCAACAACGTAGAATGTAGATTTGCAACTGGCGGGACTTCAAACGTACTTTGAATCCAAAATCCTTTCCCCCTAGTAGAAAGGGCCCGCTTCATGTGTATACTTCAGCCCGCGTGTTTAGAATTGGAGCGGGGGGGTACTTCTCGTACGACCCGTATATTTAAGGGCGGGGGATATGATAAGATCTTATTGGAACCCAATTTACATCGAATAGAACCAACGAAATCGAATACACAACCGAACATCGCAACAGAATCAGTGAATATCAAATTACAAGCAGTTGAAGTCTAGTCTACTTCAAAACTAGTGAAAATAGTAGAAAATTGTATTCCAATCAGCTAAAATCTAGTTCAAATTTAGCTCAAAGTTCATCGAACGCTAATTAGAGTTTGATTAACATCCAATTAAGATCGAATTAGCATTTCTTCGACGATGCACCATCGCAATAAAACCAATTCAAATTGCACTCAGATTCTTGAGAGGCGTTCCTTGGCAAGCACTATTCGAAGACAAGCCACGTCGTGGAAATCAAGGAGATCCCTAATCCTTTTGAGTCATACTAGGGAACCCCCTGATTCAGAGGATCCGAGTCCTACTGAACTTTAGTTTTGGCCCTTTAAAAGTAGTCTTGGGGGGGTAGAATACATTTGGGAATTCTGGGGAACTTGTAATTTGCCTACATTTGGGGGGGCTTAATAATCAGAGGAAGCGACTAGCGGCGACATCGCGCCAGACACAACTGCAGCAAGCAAATGACGCACGATATTGGGTTGCTGTTAAGGAACTTGAATTAAGTTACCATAATGGGTATACATGCTTTCCCAAATTGCAAATTCTTGAACAGCAACCCAGGATATTGCACCAGGCGGCAATATTTCGGCTGTAAGTACTGCCAAGATCTTCAGCATTTTGGCTGCAGACTGCGCTGCCCCAACGGCTTTTTGAGTGTAATTACTGGACAACTGGCAGGTCCGACATGTACCAAGATTTCACGTGGGGAAACGCCCCTCTTTCGTCGCTCGAGTCCGTGCTGGGACTTTGAGCGGGCCTCAACAAAGCATTCATGTGATTATTTTGTGATTATTATTACCATTATGATTCATATGTTATATGTTGATCATTATTCTTTCTTTGGCTGTGAACAATCAATCCTCCTGCAGGCAGTCTCTACTTGTGCACACTGGTTTGTGTTGACTACGTGGCGGGAGACTTGAAGCATCAAGGAATGTCCAGGAACGCACGAAGAGTTCATGAGGCGTTCCTGCGCCTTCGACCTGTCAGACCAGGTCCCACGAAGCGGCTTCGATTTGACGAAGGTCGTTATCATTCACAACCTTGTGTTGAGCAGCACCCTCAGTCATGTCTGAAGCCCCCATTTGAACGGTGTAAACGCGATCGGGCAGTCATAAGGTATGGCATCAGCTATTTTGTTTGTGGGCTGCGCTGCAGAAGTTGTGAGCAGAGCAACGGCAGAAGGCACTCTTCAATGGCTGTGTTTCGCTGAGTGGTTTGCTTTGGCTTGCTGCGTTCTAGTCCATCTGAGAAGGGGAAAGCTGACCCAGGTTCTGTGAGCACGTGACACATGCAGAAGGCGAGAACCCCAAGCGGTTTGCTTATCAACTGGTCGCCCCCCATCGCTGTCTGAGGCCCATTATATTTCTGGTCATATCTCTTCTTTGCAGCAGCCTTTGATTTTCGTGTTGCATCATGCCGAAGGCATAAGCAGGTTCTGAGGGAGTGCTTGTCGCGTGCACATGTTGCAAGGCCACTCTATGCTAATATGTCCTGTACTTCTCCGGACTGCCAGAATGCTTCCCCCCCACCACAACAAGCAATGAACCCAAAAAAAAAAGCAAGGACTGTACATATACGCTGAGGCGTAAATTCCCAACCAGCATGCTTATGCTCCAAATCCGAAATCGTGGAACAGAAGCCTGTGTCCCTCAAACAATTCAAATTTCAAATCTTACGCCAGAACCAAAAGCCTTAAACTCAAGCCCTAATCAATCTCAACACGCGAAAGAAACAACAATTCCTAGCGATTGGATCTCCTTGAATTGGAGCGCTGTAAGACAAAAGGTGGCGGGGAGGGCATAGGCAGCAGAAGACAACTTAAACCAGCAGAATTGCACAAAAACCTTGGCAATGAACAGGCACGCCAGCAACGACAGCCATCATGATTTGTTGCACGTTTCTGTCGTCCTGACCTGGAGTCGAAAAAGCTGGAAAGCAACAGCAAGTCGAGGAAGGCGGATCGGAACCTTTGGAGCAGCAGCCTTTTGAGAGCTCCACATATAAAGTTCAAAGAGCAGGCGCAGGGGGCTTACTTCGGAGAACAAAATGCAGGACATGTTCCCTACTTATTCGAACCGTTTCAGGACTTTCCGAATAGATAACCATGACGATGGAAGCAATCAGCAAAAAGCGGATTTTGTTGGAGCCATTTGATGAAGTAGCCAAAGCCATACTTGCAAGGTGAAAGAGGGAAGCTTGGAAGACAGCAAAAAAACAGCAGACAAGTCCTGCGACATCTTGAGGTGCCTTTGCAATTTTGTTTTGACTTGCAATATTCGAGGTCCCAAAAGGCAGATCGGAGGTTTCCAATTGTTTCGGCTGAATCCGTGTGCCCTGCTTCAATTGGTCACTACATATCATTGCACAAATTCAGGTTTTCATAGCGCCCTGTCCTGCCAAACCCGGGATCGACAACCATCGCTGGAGCTTCGCGGACGCTGCTCTGCAGCTCCTTGCCTGAGATGTCTAGCCAAATGTTGTGCTGTGTAGAAAGAGCCAGTGATTATGTCCAAGTCACAGAGTCTTTCAGCCTCAACCGCACGCCGTGTCGCGTGTTTCAGCCGCGCGAACGTGCCCGTCGTCAGGGAAAAGCGTTGAAGGAAATCAGGGACGAGTGCGCCCAGAAAATCTTTTCTCACTTCCCCGAACTCGGCTGCCGAACCAGGCATCATGGTTGATGTGAAAAGGCGGAAAATGGCGGCTTTGCAGAGTCTGCCTGGTGACAGCCGTATGGCCGTTTTCCGAAGTACCATAATTCCTCTTGAGGTGGTGCTATGATGCGAAGAATGTGGCCCTTTCAGTATTGACTCAGCTCTTCTCGGCATTCACAGGTAGAGTGATAAGAAGTTTCACGGAAAGTGTTGGCTTCCTTGGAACTCCAAGCAGATGATGAATCGGGGCCCTTGCTGTCAAAACGCAAACATGGAGCACATCTTGCGTAGGAGGCCCAGGAGTGCAAACCGCACCTCCATCATCATCATCATCATCATCACCATCACCATCATCATCGTCATCAGGAGCGCTCACAACACCGAACAAGTTCGTCCAGGCCAAGCAAGGATTGCTGTCCCTAATAACAAAGCTGACGTCATGTTGGCAGCTTTGTTCGGAGCCACATATTGAGAGTATATTGCGGTGCTCAGATATCTCACTTGTTGCTCATTGCTCAGGTGCTGGATGCATCCTTCTCCGTTGCAGCGCTCATCAGGCTCCGCAGCTAGGACCGGATGGCTGAATGTCCGCCAAGGTATCTGATTGCCCTGATTCGTTGAGGCTGCTGCTGCCAGATGTTGACCCCCAAAAAACCATAAGAGCCGCCCCTTTTATGACACCAAACCCTTGGCAGGGGGGACATTGTATTGTTGTTGCAATTCACCTGCGCCTCTGGAGCCCGCAGCCGTAGCTTGCAGTCTTGAATGAGGGTTCTGCCGCAAATCCACACGTGTCCTGGGCACAAGTGTAACCATCTTTGCTCAACTTTCGGCCTGTGTGATGTGCCTCTCTGGCGTGCTTACCATTGCTGCTATTACTCGTATTACTATCGATACTAATGTTATCATTGCTATTGTTCTTATTCCTTTTGTTATTCTATTACTCTTTTGATTATTATTACTATTGGTATTTTTTATTCTTATTATTGCATTGCGAGGGTGTACAGCCCTGCCGGCTTCTCCATGTACGGTTTAAGATTGAATACGGGTATGTCTCACGTAGAATGACTTAGTGGCACAAGTGGCCAAGAAGCGTGCAACATACCAAAGACCCCGAATCACAAAACTTCCCAACAACACTGCTGGAAGAGGGTATGGAAACTGTGATAGAAACAATTGCCTAAAGAGTGCGGGAGGCCAATCCGCAAGGGGGTCCCGCTCTTGCAGAATTTATTATGTGGAAGTTTCCATAAATAGGGAGACCCCAACATACACCCCAAAATACCGGAATCCTTATTATGGGGACCCCCAAAAGGTGCCGCTAAATTTGGAAAACCCCCCATTTGTGTCAGTGTGGAACCGCATGTGTCCGCATAGAAAAGCTTCCGTCTGATAGGTTGGAGATGATTGGTGATTATGCCCTGGACTCAAATGAGCCATAATCTAAACTACGTAAAGGGGGGTTACATAAGGGATTATATAGGGGATTACTACAGGGCCTATAGGGCTTCTTACGGCAATACTAGGGGTTTAGACTATGGCTCAAATCAGACTGTGGCGTGACATTTCTCCTGAAGGTGTAGATGACCAAAGTTGCTGCATGCGTTTCCGGGAAGCCTTCGCAAAGCGTCCGCAAAGGTTCTTTTTCGAGTTCGAGGCCGGAGACAATGAGCCTCAACGACTTGTGTTTAAGTTTGGCTTACCATCCCTATATATCCGCTATAGTATAGTATATTCCCATGCTCCCTCCTAACAGCCAGTAAGTTGAGTTTGACCAGAGTAGACGTGTGTCTCCAGTTGCTTTTCGCTGGAGCCAAGCAGTGTTCGCGGACCTCTCACTCCAGCATTTGGCCACATGCGAAAGCCTCATATTTGAAAGGGGTCCAGAAGATGTTTGCCTTCAAGAAATGCATTTCACGCGAGGCGTTATGAGGTTATGGCTACAACCTTGAAAAGAGGTGATCTCTGCAATCCCAGAAATGCGCAGTGCAGAGAACAGATCGCAGACGACAATGCAGTAAACAAACTGAGAAGCGTTGTTGCACTTCCAGTAGAACAGAACCGCAAAAGCCAACAAACGTAGTGTGTTGATTAAGTAGTCGCAGGTCTAGACTGATTCCATTTCTCCCTGAAGCAATGGCACGAGAGTCCGAGTTCTTCAAGAGCTACTATCAGTTGCTCAACAGTGGCATTTACGAAGTGCCATCTTTCCAGCGTGCCTATCGCTGGAGGCCTGCAACGGCGCTTCGCCTCTGGACTGATTGCCATGAACAATGGAACACCATTAAGGACTCAGACGAGAATGGAACATATATTCTGGGTTCCACTGTACTTTGCCAGCTAAGCCCGGAAGCTCCCCTGTCCATTGTAGATGGGCAGCAGCGTATCGTGACCCTTTGGCTTTTCTTCAGAGCAATGTACTTCTGGTGCATGAAGCACCTGCCGGATCACTCAGAAGTTTGGCACAATGTGAAAGAGGCAGCCAATGGGAACCTTGCTTTCTGCACCAATAATCTTGATCGCAGGGCAAAAAACCGGGGCAGCGAACGGCGCCTTAGGTTTCATACCGGCACGGTTCCCACCATTGATGCATGGTTTGAGAAGTGCTTCGGCAGGAAGATCTTGAAACTAGCTGACTGGGATGAGCTGCTAGAGGTCCTTTGTGAGCGCCAGCACAGCGCTGAGCAGCTGCCCTTTGTAAACAACTTTCTCACAGCGCTTTACTTCTTGTCCTCGCACTACGGAAAAGAAAGCGAGCGATGGGATGCCCAAGCCTGTTCAGGCAACGTGGAGCAGCTGTTGGGGTGGTACAAGAAGAAATACATGGGACAGTCCGAGCCTTTCAGAGGGTCAAGGGAAGATGCGGAATCCATCAACGACTTTGCAATGTACTTGCAAGGAGATGTGAAGATGGGTCACATCATAGCGGCCTCCTTCCCGGCAGCCAAACAGATCTTCGCTTCTATGAACAATCAGATTTACTCGGAACCTTGCAGCGTCATGGAGAGACTGAAGGCTACGCTGAGCAATTCTATGAACCCAGATGAAGTTGACAAAGATGTGCAGTGGGAGGAGTCTGTTTGCTGTTAAGGAATTTAATTTGAGTTACCATGTTCTGGGTATATAGTAAACGATGGGGCTTCCTTATTACAATGATTTAAACAAGTTCCTAGCAGCAACCCAGGACTGTGCAGCAATCTTTGCACGGGTCAGCCCACAAGTGCAAGCTGGTCAGGAGCTTTTTTGCTTACTACATGCACGTCATCATCGAGATCACTCCGCGGCCTCCTGACAGTGACTTGCAGGGCTTCATTGCCGAGACAAACTCTTACGACTTCTTTGTGAGGGAGCCCTACACTTACAGTTTGGAGGATCACATGAAGAGGCGGTTCATACTTGAAACCGAGGAAGGAGACGAAGCCAGGAAAGTCCGTGTGAAGCTTTTCCAGATCAAGAAGCCCAGTACGCTTGATGAGCGTGCGCTTGATTTGTTTTACAGCCAGTGGATGAACGAAGAAGCAGCCAGTTGCTTCACCAGCTTCTTGTACATGGATCAGCACCCATGGGGACGAGGCCAATTCTTAGGCAAGACAGCCAATTACAAGATTCAAAATTCAGTCACGTTGCTCAAGCATGTGGCGCACTCTGGGTTGGACCTTGACTGGATTGCACCAGCCTTCTTCTTCGTGACGAAGTTCCGCTGCATGCAGACGAGGGATCACGAACCTGCTGCAGAGCAATTCTTCGAGCTGTTGGAGAGGGGCTTTGTTGCTCACAACATTTTCTGCAAGCGAGAGCCAAAGAATGAAAGGTTTCCTGATCTGCGCCGAAAGTCGCCAAGCACTACGAGCTATCAATCCATTTTCTGCAAATACATGCAGCACTACCGGGAGCTCATTGAGGTGATCTACAAGGCGGACAGGGCGCGGCCGAGCGATGTCGTAAAGTGGATGCAGGAGCGAGCTGAAGAGCGTTGCGAAGACTTGCAAGGAGATTTGGAGAAGATGTTTCATGCCTACCCGAGCTTCGATGAGGAGATGGAAAGGACCAGGCACAGAAAGCGAGCAGCTTATGTGCTGCTGAAGGCGGAGTGCGCAGGAACTCAAGATCCGCAAAAACTCTATGCGCTGTTGTCTGACCGCCTGCCCCGAAGCTTGCAAGGGAACTGCAACAGCGAGCGTTCGAATCCAAGCCACGAGCATGTTGCGTACCGGAAGATAACGCTGGAACACATTCACAACCAAGGCAATGCTGCTGGGTGGTCTGAGGCAGAGCACAAGAATTACGTGGACAGTCTTGGCAACTATGCGCTGCTAACACAGCAGGAGAACACAAGTCTCAGGGACGGTTCCTTCGGCATGAAGTGGGACATGTATCAGAACTCTGAGTTCTCTTTGACCAAGGCTCTTTGCGAACAAGTTCCGAAGCCCGAAAATGGGAAAAAGCCTGTCTGGTCCCAGGATGACATCGAGAAACGGCGGAAGAGCCTGCTGAAGCAGGTCCTGCGGGCCTGGACCAGGCATGAGGTCCATCTCAGGCATCATGATGGCACAGCAACACCAGTGCCATGCTTTGAAGCGCCAGATGATGAGGAGCTAGTAGAGCCTGTGGAGGTTGCAGTGCCAGACCTGTTTTACAAGACAAGCCTCTGTGAGCACATCTATGATGAGGTCGGCTTGCCGAGAGCAATAAACATTGAAGCTGAGAGATGGAAGTGTCCTTATCTCAGCAGCCCCGGATACGAGTGCACGAAAGCCCATGCCTACCTGGAGTTGCGCTGTGAAGCCAAAAGAAAAGGACCCGACAAATGCAACTGCAACGGTTGCAAGTGGGATTGCGAGTCCTTCCGCAGGACAAAGGAAGCTGTCTTGCGGAGCCATCCAAACATCATCGAACTTCAGGAAGGCTCCTCTCCGGACAACGCAGACGAGCCTGCACCGGAGTCTGCAGTGGCGCAGTCGATGCAGACGGAGAGTGCCACGCGCGAGACCCAGCAGGCCATCCCTGCAGCGGAGCCTGCAGGCAAGGCTGCAGGCAAGGGTGGCTTAGGCAGGCTGATTAGCTTGGACAGGAAGCGGGGCACTGTCAGATGGATCCGGAATAGGCGAAGCGGTCCAGGCCTGGAAGGGGATATCAAACCAGCGCACAACAGTCGAGACTGGGTTCCCTTCCAAACCCACCTCCGACTCAGCGCCGGACAGTGTGTCACCTATCTATTGCAGCGGCAAGATGGCAAAGATGGTCGTGCCGTGGCTGTCAGCGTCCAATCTGATGAAGAGGAAGACGTGCGTCGCTGGATAAGAGAAGTGAGTGAAGCCCGCTCGCTGGATGATCGGGCAAGGAAAGCACTCAGGGAGGCACCCAGAGAAGTGCAATTGAACGTGAAAAAGTCGTATGAGAGCAATCCCGCCGCAATCAGAAACCCAAACAACTGGATAACAAAGACAGTAAAAAACCTGACCAGGGATTTGGAGCTGCGCAGCCGTCCAACCAGGCGGGAAAGCCCCAGGAGGGACGGCAGAAGCCGCAGTCCGCGCCGTCGAGAGCGAGATCGGAGGAGGAGAAGATGACTTCTACATCTGCGCTGTAGTCTAAACTCCTTATAGAAGGTTACATAAGGGAGTATTATCGGGGTTTTTGAGGGGGATACTAGGAGTTTAGACTATGTTTCATCTGAAACCTGCTCCTGATGTATCCTCTCAGCCATGCGGCCGACTGCGAGTTTAATTTTAGATAGCTGTGCTGGTCTCCAGTCCGTTTGGGACACCTTGCTCATCTTTGTACAGACAGAAGATGGACAACAGTGCATGAGCAGCTCAGACAAAAGCACCATGGCCAAGGCAGCAGACTTATCGGATCCAAACACTTTGAGAGCTTGATCTCCCAATTTCCCAAGCCAGGTTTACCTGTCAGTTGGGTCTTCTTCCCTGAGGCCATTGCCTGCTTGCTGCTTGATGCACTCTGAACCCATAGTAGATTTGCTGTGCTTCTGCGTTGTCAAGGTCCTGCAACGCGTAGTGTCCGCGCAGGTACGTTCCTGCAGGTTGCGGAATGCGCGGAGGCACGCGCAAGTCACAGCATGTCCCTGCACCAGAAATCAGATTGACCTCACTGCTTCTCAGCAGGAATAAGGGAATAGAATCCCGGTATAACTCGTATGTCGTATGTTCCTTTATTTTCCTACCACCCCGTAAGAACCAGTAAGAAAATGAGATTAATGCAAAAACACCGGAAGCACCTGGCCTGCAAAAAGCTTATTCCTGCTGTCGGCCAGATTCGCAGCCCAAAGAAGAGCTTTGATTCTGAGGCCAGGTGAAAGATGTGTGAGTGATGCCAACTATAAGTTTCTGGGGGCTAGTAGGGTATCTGGGAATATACTATATGGGGATTATGTAGGGATTAAATTCCCTGATTCAAGTTGGTTGGAAGGCTTCCACTGAGACTGCTCGTGTTGCAGAGAAGTGGGACAGGAGTGCGGCCCCACTCTCCGTGAGCATAAGCAGACCTGTTTTCAGGGCCTCATTCATGTCAATACTTGCCGTGTGGGACAAGCTGCGGTAGCAGTGTTTTGCTGCAAGCATTGCCCGAATCAGCAATCAGGGCCCTAATTAGTGCAAAGCGACTATGCCTGTTTTGGCGGCGTGTGTAGAGGCCCCAAGATAACACTTAATCGCCGTGAGCGAGGAGAGCCATGCTACCCCAATCCAACGAGTCGCTAACCAGAGGCCGACGAAGCTCCCAAAGTCCACGAGCCCGATAGTCGAAAAGGGATATCCCCAAATTAGGGGTGTTCGTACATCTTTGGGGGTCCCTACATTAAGGATTATAGGAAATGGGGGATTCTATATTAGGTTCCCCCTATTTTGGGAAATTACCATATACCTTAAGAAAGTAACTGCCTTGGACGAGCAAAGAACCAGCGGCAAGAATGTTACCACAATCCATCTCCGGTCGACCATGTGCCCAAAGTCTTAAACAATTGGATAGAATACGATATAACATGCTTCCCCAATTGTTTAAAATTTGATGTCGATGTTCTGCAGACTGGGACTGCTACCGAGTATAATTGGCATAATTGCTGACAGGAAGTGACATCTGAAACTTCCGGAGAGGCCAACGCCTTGTCACAGAATCCAAGGTCTTCTTCAGCACTAAAGCGGCATGCTGCAACTACCTGGATGGGATTGCTGATGACTTTGACCTACTTTGACCCTTCCGTTGTGTGTTTTTCTCTTGAGTTGCGGAAGGTTCGATGGTTGGAGGCTGATGACGTCAAGGCAGGCCGTTTACTTCAGGATTTCTATTGCTCAGAACCATCTCCAGCTGCATCCTTCAGACCTCATTGGGTACTGGCCCCACCCTGTAACAGTCCCAGTTAGGGGTCATATTACGTGGCATGTATAAGTTTGATATACGATCAAATAAATAGTATTCAGCCGTTGCAGAGTGGGGGCAGTACCCAGCTACCCTAAACCCTAATGCATGGTGCAGCGGCCCTTGCTCTCCAGGTCTGACGAACATGTTGAGCTGGAGCAGGCTTGGCAGTATGTTGCCGTTGGCAGAACTGCATGAGTTTCAGAACTTAGGGTTAAAGGGTTTAGCATTCAGGACTATGGGTTTATAGGGTTTAGGATTTAGGGTTCAGGGTTTCAGGTAGGCTTTAGGGTGTATAGGGTATCAAGCACTGGAGATGGGCTCTCGAGATTATGGACCTTGGAGCACACTGGTGTGGCAGAGAAAAGAGTAAGAGCCAGCAAGTTGTCTTGAGCAGCTTCCCAACATGTGGAATTCACCGGTCGGGTGCCTTGTGCTTGCCAGGCCTGCTTACTGTGTGCAATCTCCACTGGAATTGAAGCCATGTTGTTCCCAGGGACCAGTTGTAGAGGAGATGCTCTGTCTTCGGCTCCTTGCATGCCTTGCCTGTATAAGTGTGGGGTCAGCAGAAACACTCTGCTTTTCTGACTCGATTCCTGCATCGAGCCGACGACACATCGAAAATGAAGAGGGGGTGCCGATCCCAATTCGAATTGGGTCCTTCAGTTGGAACTTGGCCGTGCAAGTGAGTGTGTTGGCAGACTTGATCATCTCAGAAAAGCTTGGATATCACGTGGCGCCTGTTGAGTTCTTGGGCTTCCCTTCATTTCAAGACCTTGTCCTGAAACTTGCAGGCTGTGCATCTGCGGAGTGCAACGAAACCGTTGACGGGATCCATCTTGTGGTAGATGCTTTTCCGGGAGACGCAGTGACGCTAGAGTCCTTTCAAGCAGCGCATCCTGAGCGAGTTCCTGAAAATTTGGGTGGGATGGGATATGTCTTCAGCTGGGGCATGTATCTCAAAGGTTCAGTTCGTGATTTAGCCTTTGGTGAAGCAGCCCTGGCTTTGGAATATTACAGGAACTACAACACCAGTGTCAATCGCCCGCATCGATTTTTCCATAGCCTGTCTGACCTCGATCGGAGCGACTTTATCTTCTGCAACTCTACCAGTTATGGGGACGATTTTACAAACAATGCGGTGTGGGCCAATTATGTTCGGTGGACGGGAGATATCGACGGAGTCATTGAGACACCAGACGGATATGCAGCAAAATGCCCTGATGGATTTTTTTGGTTGGCCCCCGCCTGTCGAAGAAACGCATCTGAGTGTATTCCTGTCCTTTCTGCTTTTGGGACCTTGGCCAACATGGTGCAATGGGCAACTGCTCACAATCTTCCGTTTGCATTTGGGCGACCACCAAATTTTCCCGGATATCAAGCACTTCTCCGGAAATATGATACTGGGCTGCGGTTAAGTGACTTAATTAAGTTATCATAATATGGGTAACCAGTAGTTAATGGATGAGCAACGGTCAATACTTGCGCGTATCACGGACGAAGAGAAGGAAGGAATGCTGACCAAAAGGGATGCCCCTCTATCGAAGACGGAACCCACAACAACGATACATGCCAAGACCCCAATAGCAATAGGACAGCTTGTCCATGGCATCGGATTATACAAGAAGTTTCGGCGAACGCTCATATAGGTAACTTACTTTAAGCTCCTGAACAGCAACCAAGGATATCCTGTTTTATTGGTGGGAGCCTGATGAAGGAGAGCTGACAGATCTGCAGATATCCAGGCTTGTGCTTCCACCCCACGATGCTCCTTGCTGATGGTTAGTAGGAAATAGATTTGGGAATATAATCCCTATATAATCCATACAGAGGATATTCCTATATTTCCTATGAAGCTCCATCCGGTAAGGCTCTGGAATACAAAGAGGGCAATTTCCGGACCGCCGCAGAAGGTACGAGGTTGTACAAATACGGTAGCTCTTTGCTGGCGCGCTTCGCGCCGAGAGTGAGGGCGTTGGTGCAAGGAATCGCGACCAACGAAGCTGACATCTTGAACTTGGCCAGCTCACTCTCGTTGCCGACGGGAGACGAGCAAGCGCTGGGAGACGTCTTCTTCACAAACCAGGCGGAAGCCCGCAGGCAACTGGGTTGCTGTTCAGGAAAATTCAGTTCCTATAGTAAGGTAGCACCATTATTGACTCAGAATATACTCATAATTATTTGGTAACTGAGTGTAAACTTAATAGCAGCCCAGGCAAATGTGTGCATGGGCGAGATCAAATCGAGATGTTTGGGAGCCATGGCTTCCCATTGAAACGAGCTGCGCTGTTGGATTCGGCTTGGTCGACCAAGAAGATCGCCCCGTAACTTACATGAGCTGCGGACTATAAAGGTAGGTTGGGGGGGACCTGTATGGGCATGTATACGGGGTTTAGGGCGGACCGTTAAGTTTTAAGGACCGTACTATGAATTTAGTCCGGGACTTCCAACGGTTTGGACAGGGGCGTTGGTTCAGGATAGAGTGCAGGTTACGTAGACAGGTTTGTACGTCCCAGTTGTGACATGGAAGCTCTGTTTGTTGGGGATGGATCTCCATAGGCTATCCAAGTTCATGTCCAGGTGAACTCTCGCGAGCAAGCAGTTCGATGCAGCATTTGTCCGCCAGGGAGATTCTCCCAATTCATCGTGGATGAGATCGGACATACTCACCGATGCGCCCTTTGCCAACCAGGCATGCACCAGAGTGCCAGTGGAAAAGCCGTGTGCGAAGCATGTGACCCTGGTACATTTGCACAAAATCCTGGTCAAGCCCTATGCTCACCTTGTCCTCGTGGCTCCTATGCTGCTACTCTTGGAATGACCTCCTGCCTAAGGTGCGGGAACGGCACGGACAGGACCACAACACTTCTGGTAGAGGAAGGATGGATTGAAGTCCAAGGAGCCACCTCAGAGTCCTATTGCCGCTGTGCTCCGGGGCGCTTTTTGCAGAATGGCCAGTGTACTCACTGTGGGGTGGGAGCCTTTTGCCCTGGGTCTGATATTTTGGAAGTCCTCCCTGGCTATCATTCCAAGGCCAATGAACCAGGACTTATCTACAAGTGCTTCGATCTTCCTGAACGGTGCCCAGGAGGTGTACCAGGATCTTGCGCAAACGGAAGAGATGCCAACGGACCTGGTTGTGCTCAATGCCTGCCAGGGTTGCAACCCGGTGGTGCAGAATGCATACCTTGCTCAGGAGGAGACTACTTCCGTCTAGTTGCATACGGCCTACTGGTCATTGCTTCCACCGCTGCTTTGCATGTGCTGTTTTTTGTGGGCGGCCATGGCAGCAATCGCTTGCAAAGTAAGCTTGTCACCGCAGCTTTGTGCTTGAGCCATTTAATCACCTATGCACAGCTGTTTGTTGTGATGAAGCAGATTCAAGCCGTGAATTGGGGTGATCCTTTCCTGAGTTTCGTGGAGTTCCTCGACGTTTTCTCGCTGGAGACGTTGTTGAGCTCACTCTCCAGCATCAACTGCTTTACCAGCCTACCACCAGAAGCTACTTTCTTAACTCGCACTATTCTGCTTCCATTGTTTTTCGCGGTTGGGCCGAGCATTACACACTTGGCCTGCGTTTACGTGGCCCCAAAGGGTACAGAGCAAGCACCCAAAACCGGGTGGCTTTTCGGGACTTTTGGATCCCTCTCTCTACTTTTCTTCATCATGATGTGCTCCATATGTTTGGAGCCGTTTCGGTGCAATGTGCATCCAAATGGTCTAGCCACTATGCAGACCGAGCACAGCGTTTTCTGCAACCTCACGGAGCAGCATCTGCGTTTGTGCATTATCGGTGGGGTGATTCTACTGATTCCTTCAGGCTTCTTAGCGCTATCCACCTGGATCATTGCGAAAGAGCTCCCAAGACGTGTTGCCCAAGGGGACACAGAGTTCGTGCGGGCGACCTCCTTCTTGACGATGAGATTCACGCCAGGGCATGAAGGCTTCACAGTTGTTTTCCTTCTCCGTAACATGTTCCTGCCGGTGACACCCATGTTTGTATCCACATCAGTAAGCCTTCTGACGATGGGCGCGCTTTTGACCGTCAGCATGGTGCTGGTCGCTTACTTGAAGCCCTGGCGCTCTCTCTTGACAACTCAGGTAGATATATTCGGCCACACTGTGTTACTGATGATCTTGCTGTTGAGCGCTTTAAGCGTCCAAGACCAGGAGGACGCTTCAGTCATGAAACTCGAGAAAGATAGGGTTTAGGGCCTAGGGTATGCTATTCCCCTGTCACGGAGAATCAAATGGAAAAGAAAATGGAAGATTAAATGGAGTCCAAGACCAGGAGGACGCTTCAGTCATGATCTTTTGCACTGTTGTGGCTTCCATCCTTGTGGCCGTCATCCTTTTGGCGGCTGTGTACTCCGCGGCCCAATTTGTGAGGTCCAAGCTCCAGAAGCAACTGGGTTGCTCTTAAGGAACTTCAATTAGGGCATTAGAATCAGAAAACTCGATTATCAACTAAATTTATATACCCATATCATGGTAAGTATTACTTACTATATACCCATATTATGGTAACTCTATTATTTACTTTATGCCCTTATTATGGTAGCCTCATGTAAGTTCCTCTACAGCAACCCAGGCAATTTTGCTTCTTCCTCTGCCACCACAAAGCGGCCACGGCGTCCTTGGCACGGTGGTTGAAGATGGAGCTCCAAGGCAGGAAGGATGAAGGAAGTTGCCCTCAATTAAGAGATAGAGGGTTTAGGATTTAGGGTTTAGGGATGCAGGGATTTAGGGTTTAGGGTTTGGGGGGATTAGGGGTTTAGCGTTTTGGGGTTTAGGGTTTAGGGATTTAGCCTTTAGGGATTTAAGGATTGAGGGTTTAGGGTGTAGGGTTTGGGGATTTAGGGTTTACGGTTTAGGAGAATCAAGTGGAAAAATGGAAGATGAAACGGAAACTGGGGAAACATCCCCCTATAATGGAATATCAAATGGAGAAGAAAATGGAACATGAAATGGAAACTGTGGAGATGGCATGAAAACACCAGACAAAATCAGCTAAAGTGAATCCTACGTCCCAAACTCTGAATGATGAGATAATTATCCAGCCTCTCATGTGACCATCACCTGTGCGCTGCTTGCTCTGTGTTTTCTCACGAATTCCCAAATGAGCTATAGTCTAAACTCTAGAATTTAGGGAATAGCTGCAGCTGGAGCAGGTGTCAGAATGCCCTGCCAACACAACTTTATCCTGTTCGTCAGGCCGTGGAGCGCGCTTCACCACCTTCCTTGATCTGGACAGCTTGACTGATCTTACCCTGCTCTTCTCCTACGTGAGTATCCTTGGTCACCAAATGCCTAAGCCCCCAAAACGCTGAACCCTCAGTCCTGCGTTCTACGCCCTGAACCCCAAAGCATAATTTCCAGCTGTACTCTTCTGTGCCAACCTGGTTTGTGAAATGATGTTGATGTTTCTTTGGGCATTTAAGCTTTCGCTGTTGTCCCATTTTCTCAGCTTGTCCATCATCACAAGTCCAAGGTACCCGGGTAGGGTTTGGGGTTTGTATGGTACTATTTCTGCAACATAGTATATAATAATAGAATAGTATACTATGATCTATTATTGTCTTTGCTGTTAAAACATAACGCGATTTTCTTAGGGTTCACAAGTCCAATGGCTTAGGGTGTCCATGTCATTTCCCATTTCCGTTCTTGATGTAACATCCCTACAGAAACCCGTATGAACCCTATAGTCCTGAAACCCTTAACCCTGTGAAGAACCCTTGACCCTAAACCCTAAATCTTACAGATCAGATCCTAAACCTTAAACCCTAAACCCTAACGGTTTAGGGTTTAGGAATACAAAAAAAAGTCCAAGGTACCCAGGTGCAGACATTTATCATGTTGGGCAGCCCCGGATTGGTGGCTCGAAAGTGGTGTTTGGGAGAGATGGCTACGGCCAGGCTTTCTCATGTGGAGTCACTGGGGTTGCTGTTGATCTAGATTTAGGGGATTCAGTGGATTTAGGGCTCAGGGTTCACGCCTTAGAGTTTAAGGTTTGGGTTGCTGTTAAGGAATTTAGATTAAGTTACCGTAGTGGGAATGTAATATAGTAGTTAATATGGGTCCCCCGTTATAGAACCCAAAACCCTAAACCCATTAAGTTCCTTAACCCTAAGAAGTATGGACCGCTAATATGGGCCCTCAGGCCTTGTAGGAGGGATTCTAAGGACCCGTAAGGGTACATATGGAGTTTATGGCAGGATATATAAAGGATCCCAGGGTTAAGGGTCCACACTAGGGGCCCGTGGTTTCAAGAGCAACCTAGGTCAATACTGGTCAGTCTGCCGAGCTTTAGCCTCCCGAATGAGACCTTCATCGAGGATATTGCTACCACTGTGCCGGATGTGATTGACCTGACAACCTATGGTTATGGACTTTCGGAAGTGAAAGCCACTTTGCGCTGGTTGGCTTCCGTGAAGACGATTGTGATGGAGAAGATCTCTGCAGTGGGCATAGGTCAGGTGGTCGGTGAGCTGACCGACACCGGGAACAAGAGCACTAACGACATGGTGCTCAGAAACGGAGGTGCTTGCATTGTGGCAGACCATGACAATGCTGAAGCCTTGGCTTCAGCCCATGTGCTGGCACGTTTCCTTGCCCCAGTCATGATGGATCGGGGCACACCTGTCATGGTGCTCCCTGAAGAGAGCGCTGAGACCCAACTTGAGCAAACCCAGCCCACCTCCATGATTTTGCTATGCTCAAGAAACTGCTTTGCTTCTTCACACATTCGAAAATGTGTGCTGAAAGCACGCTTCCTCATCTCTTGTGCAGTGTTGCCTGTGGTGGCAGATGAAGACTTTGTTCTGCACGCATCAGCTCCAGTAGTCACCAAAAATCATGAGGATGGAGAGGCTTACCAAAGTGTGCTTGCAGCTGTGTTCTTGGAAGTGGCGCTTCCTTTCAATTCTCGGACGAGTTCGGAGGAGGACTTAACCATCCGAGCTGCGCACATTGGGCGGCGCTTGTCGCCAGGCACGTTCAAAACTCTGCGATCCAAATTGTGGATGACAGGCGGAAGGCCTGAGTGTGATAGTGAAGAGTCATCGCGCCGGGGAAATATGCTCCAAATCCTTTGTCAGCCTCCGGCCGACGATGAATGTGTGACTGCGGCTGAGGGTGAGATGGTGATGCAAGCATTCTGACCGATCATGAGATGGTAGGGTCTATACTGTAATCCTTATTATAAGGACCCCCCAAAAAGGTACCCCTAATCTGTGTTATTCTTGTACAGCAGCCGCTGCATCATGAGCTTTCTGCCCCGAAGCGGGAGCTTGGATACTGAACGAGGCAAATCCAGCCTAAGGCTTGGGTGACCCGCCTGCACCAAGGAAACAAAGCATGGTACAATTCAGGCATAAGAATAGTAATAACAATAACAACAGTAACAATGGTAACAATAATAATAGTAAGAGTAATAATGATAGCAATAATAATAGAAGTAACAGTAACTACCACTGCAAGTTTGCGGATTTTTGATGTTCCAGGGGGGACGAGTGTTTTCGCGTTAGGGCAGTGGTTTTCAGGTTGATGTTGGGCATGCTGCTGCTGCTACTACTACTGCAATTACTCCTACTACTACTTCTTCTACTACTACTACCACCACCAACGCTTTTTTTGCTGTCAGTTGTCTTGCTATTTTTTGGTTGTTACTAGTATTGTATGCAGCTCGAGGTTGTCACGCTGGGCCACGGCGTGAGTTGAACTCCCTTCAAACTCGTAGGTGGTAGCTCACCACACTATATGAGGGGGTTTCCCCAAAGGGTCCCTATAATACAGAGCATAATATACTGGGGTCTATATTGGGGTCCCCTTATTTTGGGAAACTACCACGTCCATTCTGCATACCTGCGATGAATATCAAAGGGCACAGATAATTCTAAGGGGATTTTGGTAACCCCACCCCCCAAAATTAGGACCCTATAACGATCATATGTTAGTCATAGGGTCCTATTTTGGGGGGGTTGGGGTTACCAAAATCCTTTCATTAGATAAGTGACTGGAGCGCATAAACTTTGGCTGCTTCAGTTCTTCTACTTTGGGCGTAGTGGAAGCCCCTTGCTCTTGTACAGCTTGTGCCTTCATCAGTTTCCCAGTTCCTGATCTATAGACGGAATGTGAAATGGACCAAAAAATAAGATCTTCATGCCCCATATTCTATCTACTTCACGGGATTACGGGGTCTGCCTGAGCTTCCGTGGCTCAAAGTAGACAAGTTTCTGGCGAGGCCTTCTTGTGAACCAGGCCTCAACGATTCTCCAAGTTTCCTTGCCTCCTGGCGTGGGAACGGTATACAAATAATCCGTATAATCCCTATAATGTCCATGTTCTTTTTCATTATCCCTACATAACCCCAAGTTATTACTACCATTGCTATTATTGTTATCAGTTAGGCCTGAATGTGCGCAGGCTGTCCCTCCACAAGAGAGTTCATCAGAAGGCGGGTGCCTCCTCTGCCATTGTCCATGGCAGCTTGAGTCTTCCCTGAGTTCCCAACAGTAATAATATGTTGGGGTCATATAGGCATAATGGGAAAGAAAATGGAAACTATAGGGATTATAGGGATCATACCTTTGAATGTCTACGACTTCACTTGACTGTCAGGTTTCATCTACGTCTGTGTGAGTTGCAGGTGCCAATTGAAGGAAAGTTGTCTGTTGGCTCAACATCTCAGGCCCAGAGCGCTCTATGCTGCCCTATGGGAATGCCCTTGGCCTAGAGTTGGGTGCTTGAGGGCTACTGCTCAGTCTGTGTATGTTGAGCTTTGCAGTAGCGCAGGAAACCTGAGACAGCATGATGCTTGGACAAGACTTCATGGAGGTGTGTCACACATGAACAGAAGTTCTCGGAAGAAGAGGGTTGGACGATAGCAGAGTTGCTAAGATAAGCCTATGCCGTCCAGCCCCACAGATCGATTCAAAGCTCCTGCAGGATGCTGAGGAGTATCGTGTACCTGCTGTTTGGCTCAAGCCCGCCTTCGGACAAGCCGGGCGGGCAAGAGCACCATGACATCATGACATGATGCTGTTTCCGTTGCACGGTTTCCATGGCAAGGTCGTCTGAGTTTTCCTCGATCCTGCCGGATGAAGCGACATTGCCAAGCAAGTCGCTTGAGACAGACCACGCCGTGCGACCGCAGATTGTCATCACACCACCAAGACGAGCTTTTGACGTGTCCCAACCATCCGAGAAGCCTCCCGAGACGCCTCCAGTCGATGACCGCGACCGCAGTGACCGCAGTCCGGGGAATCTCCAACTTCCGGGCTCCTTCCCGAAAACTGAAGTGTCAGATCCTGAGGAGGATGCGGCCTGCCCTCAGAGCTCGTCTGTATCTCAGGATCAGGAACGTGAGCTTGAGCATCTCCACCGCATGCCGTCATACAGCTCGCAAAAGTCTCGCAGGTCCGATGGTTCTTCCAGAGGGGATTCGGATATGACAGAGCAGCGCAGCAAGTACAGTCAGGGAAGCAAGCGGAGGGGTTCCTTTACTGTAGCAAGGGTGAGCATGGACACCACGAAGTCTTCCTTGGACAGAGTGGCGTTTGCCGATGGAGTCGAGTCTGTAATGCAGCTCTACTTGGAAGATTATTGCGAGGATGGACCAAGCATGATTGGCCGTGCCGTCAGGACCTTGGTAGTGCTGTTTGGCCTCCTTGTCCTGGTATCCGCATTCTCCTTCTGGTCCTTGATGATACCTTTCGAGTCGCCAACAGCAGGCTTTCTGGCCAAATTGGCAATTCAACTTTGTGGCAGTTCCCTCCATGATGTATGTGGTAAGCCGCTCGGGCGTCATCCTGCTGTTTCGCAGCATTTCGCCGGCAGAACGAGTACGCATGAGCTGGAAAAGCTTGTGGCTCCCTTTGATTGGCCCAGTGTTCTGCATCGTTATCCAGACCATTGCTGCCGCTCAGGGCGTGTATCCTTTGCCGTACACCATTCTCACGGCCGCCATCCCTGCTCAAATGGTTGCCCTCATTGTGGCTGGCCTGTCCATACCAGCAGATCTCATGACCACAGAGGTTCGCAAGTGGTGGATGTATGTGATCTTCGGCTTCATAGCCTATCCTTCCCAAAGCATGCTTTTCATGCTTTGGTTGGCAGTGTTCCCAAGGCTCACAGAGGTGTTGCAGGTCCTTGGCAGCTTTGCGCTAAACGGTTTGCTCGCGATAGTAGCAATCATTATGGAGAGGGTCGGATTATGGTTGGGCCTACCGGCCTACCTCTTGTACGAAATCAAGGTCATGATCCTCTTTGTGTCGTTCCTGTACACGGCTGCCCTTTTGTCTAGCGCCAAGTCCATGACGGTGCTGGCGCTAATGCTGGCACAAGATGCCGCAAAGGCAGTGGCAATCTTTGTAAAAATGTGCCTTCATCTGCTAGCCATCATTGAAAGCGAACACATTGCTGAGAACGATGTGCCGGCCTGTGCTCCTTGCTGCTCCTGTTTCCAATCGTTGCTGAGTCCAAGCGAGCTGCTTGGTCTAAGTCGACGGAAGTGGTCCTTGATGTTAGAAGCGCAGGATAGACTCAGTGATATCTTCACCATCTTCCAGCTCCACACCCGAAACAGCCTACAAGATGTAGACCTTGCTTTGGCCGATGTTCGCCTCTTGGGCGGCTTCACCAGGTGTATCGTCGTTTTCGGCTTAGTGGAGCTTTGCGAAGTGCTCGTTCCATTGCTGTATATGATTTTGGTCACCATGCTGCACAGCCCTTGGGGAGCAAATCGGGAGTACATCTACCTCTTTAATGACATGGAGCTGGGGCCAGCTCTGGTAGGGAATGGCTTTGGCCTCCTGATTGAGGTCTTGGTCTTGCTGCTGCTGCAGTGTGCATTTTCTCAACTCATCGGCTTCAATCTGCTGAATTTTGCTGCACACGTCTTGAGAATGGAGCCTTTGGAGTCATAATGTAAAGGCTTTTATTTTTCAATGTTCTTCAGTTCCCTAGAGCCTCGCTGATATGTCAGATTCGGGTAGCGACTCCCAGGACTTCAACTACTGGAACGCGATTCTTTCGACATGTTTGGAAGGGTGGGTCGTTGTACTGCTCTCCCATGGAGGACATGATCTTGAGGCGATCCGCGAGTGGCTATCCCTTTGACTTCGTCCAAGGTCGATGAAGGGCTGCTCCAAATGAAAGCAGATGGCATTGCAGGAGCCTTTAAAAAGTTTAGATAGTTTCATTTTTATATCCGTTTCGCTTGCGAAAGAGAATGCCATGAAATGGCCTGCGTGTGGAGTTTGATGACTTCTGGTGTTTTTGTCGCATCTCTTGCTCGGCCGCCCGCGCTGTGCAAAAGGTCCCTAAATGCTGCTATGTCCTGGTGCACCTAAACCCCAATAGCCTGCCCCTTTTCTAGTGTACTTAATTTGGTACACAGAAGATACTAGTAAAGCTAGGGACCCACAAGGGGGGTAAGGTATGGAGGTCTCGGTCATGCTATAGAAATGGGCCCAGAAGCCCGCTAGGTACGTGCAGCTTGATTTTCCTTTGAGGTTCTGCGATGAACTTCTGCACCGAGGCCCTCCGTTTGTGACGACCTGAACCCCAAAAATATGTAGAGTAATGGCCTTTTTGGGCTATATCTTGGGGTTGTGGTCTATTGATTTGCCTACTTTTGGCGTCCAGGGAGTTCTGATTGAAGTCAAGTCTTGGCTGAGCAAAGATATCCACACCATGCTAGACCAAAGCTGCAACTGAAGGCTGCTTGTTTTTGGGGCTTCAGAAGGGCAACTGCAAATTTGTTGCTGCACAAGTGCGTTGTTCTTTTGCAGGAAGATGGCAGACGTCGTGGACTTCCTGAACTGGGAGGGAGCACTTGATGTCAAAAAAACGGCCCTTCGCTTTGTGGAGCTCTTTCAGCAAGCTGAACCCTGGGGATCCAAATAGCCCAATGTAGGTAATATTCACAGACTTCAGGGCCCAATGTAGGTATTGTTTATGAACTTATGGATCCCCAGAAAAACTTCTCTCTCCTCACAGGTTCTGTACGACTGACTTCGGACATTTAGGGTTTTGGGTTTTGGGTCTAGGGTCTAGGGTTTAGGGTTTAGGGTCATATGTGGGCAGCATGGAATTGGATGAATAGCTTTGCTCAGGAAAAGTTCAGAGATCATCCCGGACTGTCTGAATCACTACGTGAAGCCAAGACCGTACACATATTGATACGCAAGTCAGTTTGCCTTGCAAGGTAAAAAGCAGCAGGGTGTTAATATAGGGGCCCAAATAATTATCAATATTATGGCTCCATACTCCTCGTAACGTTGTAGTATATGGTACCTCAAAGGGGCCGCAAAATGATATTGGTAGTCATTTAGGCCCCTGTAGATGCTTTCAGATTGGGGCAGCATTTGTCCAAGGAGCTTCCGTGTCGAACTCCATACATTTGCCAGTGATGGCACAGACCGAATCGATTTGATTAGGATTTAGGGTTTTAGGTTTAGGGTTTTAGGGTGTAGGGTTGAGGTTTTAGGGGCTAGGGGTTTAGGGCTTTAGGGCTTTAGGGTAACGGAGGGCAGAAAAGAGCTCGGAAGGATTTTGTTTGCTATTCCTGGCAAATCAATACCGGTACCGAAATCCCAGAAGATTCGGCTTGCGGGGGAACATTAGGTTTTCGGATTCTTCTTGATTTGGCTTGAAGCTGCGTTATGAAAATGAAGCTTTTACATGATGGGCTCATCAATGGACATGGCACATCTCGAGTCCTGGAATCGTTCAATGGGGGCTTCTCCGTAGAATTCCTCCCTTTCCGGCTTGTGGTTTGCTGCGGGGGGCAACGTGGCCTTGTTGTCGATGATGGTTTTGCTTGCTGCTTGCCGGCTCACAGCACACCAAATGGCGCATTTCAAGTGGTGCTGCTAGTGTGTGAGAGAAGATTGAGATCTTGTGTCGATCCAAAGGCCTACAGTGAATGAACCTGGCTCAGCTGACTTGACTTCATGGTAGGCAGAGAATCTGTGACTTTAGGCAGCCGAAGACCTAGATCTTCAAAGAACACGAAGCCAGAGACCGCAGCCATGAGAAGACCCCACCCCCCGTCGGCCACACTGCCTGGCGATGTGGAGCGAGGAGAGCCCCTAGCCATCCCCATCACATTGTATATCCCGCCATGTATGATATAGTTCTTACATGAGCTATAGTCTAAACTCCTTAAAGGGGGGTTACATGGGGGACGACTACAGCGGTTATTAAGGACTATGGCTCACCTAGTTGCGCTCGCAAGAACTTACCCCAAAATTTCGGAAACCTTTCTTTTGCTAGTCTACACCCTGCTTTTCCCCCCCTGCACCAGGAACCCTTGCTGTGTGGCTCTTCTACCAGGTTTGCCTGCTGCGCAGGCGGGTGGTCGCTAGTCTGAGACTCCACCTGCTGAAGGATCCCAGAAAATGGAACCTCCCAAGGACCCCGTAGTTTCCCCTGTAGTAATGGGGGTCATTTTGGGGGGCGGTTCCAGTTTTTTGGATCCTTTAGGGGGTCTGGGCTTATGGTGATGAAAACTTGTGCCACCTAGAAAATGCTGTGATTATTGGGCGGTATTAGTGGGGCTGTCTTGAGCTAGGTTTCGGCTTCGTGGCTCCTTTTTGGGTGCTTGTCATCTGAATAGATGGCAAAGCAAGACCAAGAACACTCCAGACAAACTTTATGATCTAAGTGGTCCAAGTTGACTTTTGGATTTTTGTAGCAGGCCAGAATTGAAATTAGAAGAGCTTTACGAGGCATTAAAATCTGAAGAGTAGTTGCCGTTTCTTTTCCATTCCCATATATACCCCCACATATCCCTACATCACCCCTATACCATGTGTCAGGGAGCCTATAGCGATCCCACACCATTCTTGGAAGGCTGGGCCTGCGATCTCTGAGCTGGATGGCCTCGTGCAGGTCCCGGACCACAAGGCCCTGACCTCCCAGCTCTGCTTTTGGTGCTCCACGGCTGGAGCTGGTAGACGAAGGGCCGAGTGTGCCTGAGTTCTAGCCTTCAGTCCAAGTTTACGCATCTGCATGGCATTGCTGACAAGCCGTTGGGCAACTGTTTGAAGATGGACTGATGCAAGAGCCCCTTGTAACGAACTGTCCGCGTGAGCTACCAAGCAGAGAGCAGCTTACAGCTGGCCAAAGGCTCCAGTTGGCCTCTCTGACAAAGCCAGATTACTGAGATCTCAGCCTGAGCCGCACGCACACTCGCAGTATGTGTCACTGAACGCTGAGGATTCCGTGTAATGAACGCATGCAACCAGATGAACTGTTCTACCAGACTCCTGGCGTGTCACATTCCTATTTACTGCAAGGTCGGGCCTAGTGCCCACTATTCATGGGTGGCAACAAGCACTTCACACGTGTGTAGAGTCACGTTGGACTGCACGGACCACGGCAAGTCCCAAGCAGCAGTGCAAGCAAGCTGCCGGAACTTGGCAACTCTAGCAACTGACGGGGACCTATTGGAACACCTGACAGCTCCTCGACCTCAGGAAGAAAGGTCCTAGTACTTCCTGTGCAGCTTCCAGCCAGTCTACACCATTGCGCGCTTGACTTTTGCTTTCTGCAGGTCTACTGGAATGAGACGGCTGCTCCCATGCATCGTCAGTGCCTGCATGGCAAGGTCTAGCAGCCTCAAGTCTTCATCAAGGCCGCGCTGTATACGCCTTAATTGCGAGTCCTTGCTACATCCCAGGAGGGAGCGCTGCAGTGGGGACCAGGAAGAATGTCATGCAGTTGGTAGTTTCCCCAAATGGGGTACCCCAACATGCACCCCACTATACTATAGTCACCAGTATAGGGCCCCCAGGAGGTATCCAGGGCAAACCCCCAGTTGTGGCCATGGCGGGCCAGAGCGTTGCCCGCCAGAACCTGCTGAGAGTGTCAGCTTCACCCACCAACAGATGGCGCCAGGCCCTTGGTGGCTTTCCAGGATTAAGTCCCTACAACCTGTTCTCTCTTCCGCAGATCCGATCCCTAGATGCCGACAGTTAAACCCTTGATATCCCTAAGCCTCTGGCCCTGAGCCTCCATCCGTAGTCTGGACGCCCGCGCACTGGACCGTGCAAGGGTGTGCTCACTAGTCAAGCATAGTCAAGCCATTGTCCGAGCTACAACCGGACAAAAGCAAGAGCTCCGAAATGGCAGGCAGGGGTTCATTAGTACAGCTTTTTGCAGAGCTAATGCCGGCCAAGAGCAAGAGTTGAAACTGGCCGACGAAGTTGGGGGTCGTTCCTGTGCCGCCAGCAACTCCACGGAGTTTGACTTCGACCTCTTCAGCACCAGTGTTGATAAGTTGACGAGGTGCGAGACTTGAGCGATGCGTGGTGAGGCTCGCCTCATGCACGCCCCGTCCCTTCTGCGTTCCATGTTTCGGCCATCAGAGGAACGGCTCCAGTGTTGAGACCAAGGCATGATACGAAGCTGCTGCCTCACTAGAGAAGGGTACAGGAGGAAGAGGCTCGTGACAGTTCAGCACTGTCTTGGCTGGCTTGTGAAGGGTTGCAGGGCTGTGCATGCAAAAGTCGAGAGAGCAGAGAGCCTAGGCCTAGGCCTCGCCTCAGCGCATCACAATTCCCTCTCCGCCGTTCACATGTTGGCTGGCTTATTGGTTGTTTTGCAGTTAACCTGGCACGTCCAAGGCGACCAAGCGCCGCTGGAAGTCACTGTGTGCAACGCACCTGCGCTTGGAGGGGCTTGGGGTGTGCTTAAACTGTTCAGGCTCTTGAGGTGAAGCCAGAAGACCAGCCAGTAGCTCTTTACCCCGTGGCCTGAGTTCTCCTTACCTTGACCCCAGAGATGCCAACCCAAACAACGGTCCAAGTAACTCAGGCACGAGTGTAGTGGCAGCCCTTCTCCTATTCCATGTGCAGTATGGCCTACGAGCCATTATCCTTGACGCTGTCCTTACTGCAGAGTAAGGACAGATGCCAGGCCCTGCTTAGAAGGCCTGGAGCAGCCTGAGGTGCCATCTCTGCTTGCCACCCCAGTCAGGATTGCTAAGATGCGTGTCTCCACCTTGAAGCTTTGAGGACGTCTAGCGATTTTCCGAGGCGAAACGATTCAGGGAGATCATTGGAGTTCCCCAAACTACAGGGCCTTGTGAGCGTGGGGAAGCTCTGCCCCTC